GCCCACGGGAAAGTAACGACACTCTCATCCCCGCGTGAGTTTCCTCCTCGATTGAAAGCCAAACACGTATGGCTGGTGAGAAGTGAGGCATCGACTGAAATAAAAAAAAAAAGATGCGGGTAAGGGTAGTGGGTTGGCTCAAAGCGCCCCCCCTAGGCGATCACTGCAACGAGCTGTGAAGAATCGGCCCTATTGTTTCCTCTTTGGATGTGCAGGCCGTAAGAGTGTGTGTGTGCTGCTCCTCTAGTCCGGCTGTGATTAAGCTTTGAATGTACTGCAATAATTAACTCGCACAACAATGAAATATCAACTGTCTCCAGCAAACATCCATTGTATTTATTTGATGCATCTTCTATTTATCGACAACTATACCTAAACTGCAATCCCATATATGAGATTACTGCCAATACTGTTGTAGCGCCTCAATGCGCCGCTCGTCAAGGGAGAAGAAGTTGGCATTTGAGCCGCGCGGCGGGTGCAGCGCGATAAAAAAAAAAAATCAGTTCGAAAACTGAATGCTGTCAGGGCAGGATCTTTCCCGTGTTAGCTCCGACAGTTAATAGTGACCCGATAAAGAACACACAGCCCCGATCATCCCGCATGGATACCGCCGGCTCTGCCACCAATCCTACCGGTCCTGACGCCCAAGAAGACGCCAGACCTAGTGGTGCTGCAGTCGCTGCGATTCAACATGTCAACCCGCCACCATTTTGGCCCAACAGCCCCAGCACATGGTTTCTGCAGGTCGAGGCGCACTTCCGTCTGCGGCAAATCACCAGCCAACAGACCAGGCACTGGCATCTGGTATCCTGCTTACCTCCGGACCTAGCCGACGACTTAGCTGATATTTTAGCGTCGCCGCACCCGAGCCATCCCTACGACACGTTGAAGGCAGCTATCATTTCCCGCAAGTCTGAGTCCGAACAGAGCAGACTCCAACAGCTCATCACGGCTACAGAGCTCGGTGACCGTCGCCCAATGCGCCAGCTCCTTGGCGGCCCCTCCGCCCCTTAAGAGAAGCTGTTACGCGAGTTGTTCGTTCAGCGCTTACAGCAGAGCATGGTCCCGGTCCTCGTAGCTGCAGGAGATGTCCCAGTAGACACACTCGCTGAAATGGCTGACCGAGAGGCAGACTACTCGCGGGCACATAGCCTCAACGCCGTTACCACACCGCCACCGACCACCGCTGCAGACCCGGCGCTCGCGAGCATGGAGAACCGTTTGGACGCCGTTGTCAGGCGCCTCAATGACTTTGTACCTGCGCATCGTCGACCGTCATCCAGGTTCCAGATACAAAGTCGCTCTTCGACGCCCCCACGTTCTCCGGAACTTCGGCCACCTGACGCGCCGCGGGATGTTTCATCCTCAACCGTGTGCTGGTACCACCGCCGATTCGGTGCCTCTGCTCGCAAGTGCACTCACCCGTGCTCCTGGTTGGGAAATGCGACGACCGGCCACTGACGGCGGCAAGTGGTACTGGTCGAAAGTCATGCAGACTTTTCTATGTTTCTGATAAGATCACTGGCGCTTGCTTCCTAGTCGACACAGGAGCCCAGGTTAGCGTCATCCCGGCCTCGTGTGCAGATCGCCGTGGCAACGAACAGACCTGCCCACTCCAAGCGATCAACAATTCCGCCATTCGCACATACGGCCAACGCTCTCTTACACTTGACCTTGGACTACTTCGTACGTTCCGCTGGATTTTCATCCTCGATGACGTCTCACAAGCTGTTCTTGGAGCTGACTTCCTCAGTTTTTTCAACCTTACTGTGGGCATGCATGCTCATCGCCTCATTGATCTCAACACCCACCTCTCCATCAACGGTGTACTCTGTACTTCCTCGACAACGGACTGCGAGCTCTCACACCTGCTTCGCTGTATGCAAAAATACTCGACGACTTCCCAGCATCACGAAGCCGCACACCAGAGAGTCACCGGTGAAGCATTCCATCACTCACCACATTGTGACCACTGGACCTCCCGTTTTTACACGACCCCATCGACTATCTGGAAAACGCCTCGCCATCGCCCGCCGTGAGTTTGAGCACATGCTTGAACTCGGCATTGTACGGCCTTCCTCCAGCAACTGGGCGTCGCCACTCCACATGGTGCCGAAGAAAGATCCTGGCGACTGGAGACCATGTGGGGATTACCGCGCTCTCAATGCCCACACTTTACCAGACTACTGTCCATTTCCTCACATACAGGATTTCACATCAAATTTGGCTGGGTGCACAATCTTCTTTAAGATTGACTTAGTGAAGGCTTACCATCAGATTCCTGTAGAACCCGCCGACATTCCGAAGACGGCCGTCACCACCCCATTCGGTCTGTTTGAATATGTGAGGATGCCTTTTGGATTGCGCAACTCTGCACAGACCTTTCAGCGCACTATCAACGAGGTCACGCGAGGTCTCGATTTCGTATTTGCCTACCTTGATGACCTCCTTGTAGCAAGCTCATCCGGCCTTAAGCATGAAGCCCACCTGCGCACCCTGTTCCACCGCCTGGATGATTACGGCCTCGTAATTAATCCCAATAAGTGCCTGTTCGGCGTCGCTACAATAGAGTTCCTAGGCCACCTTGTCGCTCCAAAGGGTATCCAACCACTCGCCAGCAAAGTGAAGGCTATTCAAGACTTTCCACCCCCGACTTCACTGAAGAGACTCCGAGAATTTCTGGGCCTACTAAACTTCCATCGTCGCTTTCTTCCAAAGTGCGCCATATTCCTAAAGCCCTTGGCAGACCTAATGGCTAAAAAGAAAGACCCCGCTGCGCCACTGAAGTGGCCCAAGGACGCTGCATCTGCCTTCGGCACTGCAAAGAAGGCTCTGGCAGACGCTACCATGCTCATCCATCCCGTCCCTGATGCCCCAATTCGTCTCATCACCGATGCATCAAGCTTGGCAGTTGGCGCCGTTCTCGAGCAGCACGTATCCGGTTGGCAGCCCCTTGGGTTTTTCTCGCAAAAACTGAAGCCACCAGAGACAAAATACAGTACATTTGCCCGAAAACTCCTCGCGGTATACCTCGCCATCAAACATTTTCGCCATTTATTGGAGGGGCGGGACTTTTACGTCGTTACAGACCGCAAGCCCCTGTCGTTTGCCTTCCATCACAATCACAGCAATTATACTGCACGGGAGATCCGTCAACTATGCTTTATTTCCGAGTTCACTGTGGATCTCAGACACGTACATGGGCCAGAAAATGCTGCTGCTGATGCACTATCCCGCATCGATGCCTTGTCGACCCAGCCACCACTAGACATGGAAGAGCTAGCAGCTGCCCAAAGCAACGATCCTAAGCTGCATCGTCTTCGCTCTTCATCCACGTCTCTATCGTTCACGGAGTGTCCGCTTCCATTTTCAACCTCCTCAATAACGTGCGAAACGTCTACTGGTGTCCCTCGGCCCTTCGTGCCTTCAGCTTTTCGTCGTGCAATTTTTGATCAATTGCACAACATGAGCCATCGTGGTATTCGTGCGACCCAGAAGCTAGCCACATCTCGTTTCCTTTGGCCAAGCATCAATGCTGATGTCCGACGCTGGGCGCGAACCTGCCTTGAGTGCCAGCGCGTTAAAGTTCACCGTCACACTGTCACGGCAACATCCCCGTTTCGGCCTCCAGACGCATGGTTTTCTCACGTCCATCTCGACATCGTCGGTCCTCTTCCGTCATCGCAAGGAGCCTGTTACCTGCTGACATGTGTGGATCGCTTCACCCGATGGCCGGAAGTGTTTCCAATTTCCGACATTACAGCACGAACAGTTGCCAAGGCTTCCACAAACGGCTGGGTGTCGCGCTTTAGATGCCCTTCTGTCGTCACCACTGATCGCGGTCGTCAGTTTTAATCAGCCCTTTTCACCGCACTTGCCAATATCCTGGGCATTCGACACATCCACACAACTGCCTACCATCCTTCCGCGAATGGCATGGTCGAACGGCTTCATCGACAACTGAAAGCTGCCCTCACTGCTCACCAGCCAAGGGAACGTTGGCTCGACCACCTCCCCTTCGTACTTCTGGGCATCCGATCAGCATTGAAAGTGGATCTCAGCTGCTCATCAGCCGAACTAGTCTATGGCGTTTCCCTGCGTCTTCCAGGAGAATTCTTCGAGCCATCATCGCCAGCTTCCACTCACGATGCCTCCATGTACATTCGAGAGCTGCGCACCACCTTTCAGGACCTTGCTCCTGTGATTCCTGCCGACTGACACCCCCAGTCTGTCTTCATCAGTCAAGATCTGCATGACTGCAGTCACGTCTTCGTTCGGCGTGACCAAACACGGCCATCACTAACACCAGCCTGTGATGGCCCATTCTGCGCACTCCATCGTACACCTAAGACGTTCACGCTGGACATCAATGGCCGTGAAGACGTCGTGGCTGCTGATCGACTGAAACCTGCGTATATCACCGCTCTCACGGCCGCGGGGTTTCAATCTAAAGTCTGGATGCCAACATCCAAGCATGTCCACTGGGCGACTCCTCTGGTAATTCCTACGGCTCTCGCTCTACGGGGGGGAGCCCTGTAGCGCCTCAATGCGCCGCTTGTCAAGCAAGAAGAAGTTGGCATTTGGGCCGCGCGGCGGGTGCAGCGCGATAATAAAAAAAAAAGTCGGTTCGAAAACTGAACGCTGTCAGGGCTGGATCTTTCCCGTGTTAGCTCCGACACTATTTTATTGCAATAGTCAAATGTTTGTTTCGGTTTTGTCGCCAACTTCTTTATTGCAGGATACTACTGTACTTACGTGACTACAGACATGAACAGTTGAGTACCGCTAGAATAAAAGCGACAGCATGCAAGAAAAGTATTCATAAAAGTTCTGATCATCAAATTCACAAATATATACCTCACCTGAACTCCCCACACCCGGTAGACACATCGCTAGACATTGTACTCTCTCCTTGCCTTTAACCTCATAAAACTCCCACAGTAGCTTGTGAAAATGAATGTAAATAAAGCTCTCATTCGGCACAGGACTTTAGTACCCACCTTGGATTCTGTTTTTGGCATTGGCGGCAAGTCCAAAAGTTCCTCTTCGTTCTCTTCTACAGTCTTGGCTGTTGGCAAGACCTTTGGCGTCATGTCACCTGGCAGCAGTTCATTGCTGCAGTAGAAAAGGTGGGAACGGTGGAGGTGAGCAAACAATGAAGCAGGTAATGGGAGCTTTTTTTTTTTTTTTGACTGAGGGTTGAAAACGAGGGCAGACTTCCTGCATATAATAAAAACTCGATTATAGAAAGAGGTCAAGCTCTAGAGACTCCAAATGAAAAAAAAAAAAAAAAAAAAACTTGCCTATGTATACTACGAGTTAAGAAAGTTGGGAGAAAATATTAAAAGCAGACTGGTCACTGGAATCGCTCATTTTCAACAGAACTTTCATCTAACATTCCTTCGTCACAAAAAAATTGCCTAGGTCATCTGTGCCATATCAAGGGTTGTTTGAAATACCATAGACAGAGAGAAAATGGGAGAAAAGCAGGGAGGTCAACCAGAACTGTAGCATTCAGTTTGCTACCCTGCACTAAGGAGAGGGAGCGAGGGGAGAAAAGATGAGCAGGAAAGCGAAAAAAAATATGCACAAAAAAGAGAGAGCAGGGGTGCTTTAGCCTATTCCGCTATTTGAAAGACCATGGTGCAAAATCTTTAAGGATGCTTGCTCGACCGTACACAGTCCCCCCCTCCCCTTGCACAAAGTAGCAGGTGATGCTGGCTGCCCCCCTTAATTAACCACATTTTAAAAGGGGCCCTAAAACACTTTTTCAAGTAACATTGGAATGAATTCGCTCAAAGCTTATTTTCTCACGAATTTAATGCTGCAAAATTTTAAAAATCCGTCCAGAACGATCAGAGTTGCGCAGATTTGCTGCACGCTGATATTTCATTCGCTTTTCTCTCGTCCTGACGAAATCACCGGAAGCTAAGAAGCGAGGAATGGCATGAGAAAAAAAAGTCACGTGCGCCTCTTGACCTTCTTGAGCACATTTCTTTTTTTTTTTTCTTACGATATGCGGCTTTTTCAGTCTGATCACGCGTGCATGCATGGACAAGTCACGGCCTCTTGCAGCGATCTTTGTAACAACTGAGTGCGCCATGTGCAAATCAGCCAACGGCTCATAGAAGGCCTTCTATGAGTGATTTTTTAGCTTCCTTTGTCACTTGTGAAAAGAAGAGACAGCTGACATTACGAATTTACTGTGAAGTGCAAACCCCGCGCTGTGCTATATTATTTGGCTCGCATGTTGTCTCGGGAGCCTCTACTACTGATCGGCAGCGTTTTCAGATCATGCTCCAAAAGTGTTGCAGGGCCCCTTTAAATGGTTTGTTCACAGCAGCAGCCGAGTGGTCCTCTGACGCAGCCTCAAGTTCAAAGTCACCGGTTGCACAAAAGCTGATTCACAGAGTTGGCGCATTATATAAAATGCGTCCAGCACAAGTGTAGATGGGAAACACAACGGGGTGCTGAGTTGCGTACACCGCATTGACTTTGGCCAGTTGAAAACAAGGCTCATCCATCCTTTATCATGCTATCTCGCAATGACATTCCATAGTAACTAGTTGCCTTTTGGCATTGTCTTGCGCTTCAAGACGACATACGGTGGGAGCTTGTGGCTGTCCACAGAGCACGATAACTATAATGCAACTCCCGGCTTCTCATTGCCAGCAGTAGAGACACAAGCTTGTTCAGAGCCTCTTTTTCATTTCATTTCGTTACCATAAAAGCCCAACAGAAGAATTACATAAGGGGTGGGTTCTCATATGTTCATTACACATTGTTAGAAATAGGATTTGAACGAGCATTATTAAACATGACATCAATAATATGGGTACACGATTATGTGATATGTACAAGCTGTTGTAATGATGAAAATGACATCCAGCGATTTTTATTCTGAAAAACGATGAGATATCTCTTCTATGAATGTGGGCACGCTTGTTAGGACAGTGATTTGGTGACGCAGGCTGTTCCAATATGTGGCTGTGCGGAGAAAAACCTGAAAAGGTAGTACAGTTAAACTTCGATATAATGAAATTTGATGAATTCCCGGTAAATATGTTCATAAAGAGGTTTTCGTTATACAGTCGACTCTCGTTAATACGAAGTTCACGGGGACCGCGAAAAACTTGGAATTAAGCGGAATTCCAATTAACCACAATGAACGAAAAATACATTTATTTCAAAGCAGTTTATGAGAAAAAAATCTGTGATTGCCGTTTGCTTCTGTTTGCTGAATCTTGCAACAGAAAGCAAGTCCTGCAGGCTGTATATGTGCCCGAGTGCTTCCTCGGCGTTGCTCTCAGCAGTGAAAAACCGCTGCGCGAGGACAAGGCCTGCGGCTACATCAGCAGCCCGCGATAGTGGCTCCTTTGCGTCGTCGTCGTCAACCTCAGTTTCGTGACTAGACGCGCTGGGCCGAACCATCTCCACGATCTCAGCGTCCGACAGTGCACCGCACGTTTCTACCGAACTGTCAGTGGCAATGTACTCCTCGAAAGGGACGTTGCCAAGAGCTGGCAGGAGACCATCAACGTCAAGCTCACTTGTGTCGTCTTCCCCCACTGTACAAGACGCCAAGTGAAGCGTCCGATAAGGCCCGCGAGTTGCCATAGTAAATGCACGTGGAGCTTTGTCGCACGTGGAAACACTGAGTCCGCACACGACCGTAATGAGATCAACAATGAATCTTGGAACCGGAACCGCCAGAGCAGCCGCTTCGTGACCTGGGGCGCTGCATGCAACTGCGATGCCATCAGCTGACGCTTTGAGCTGCGGCGCTGTGGTCAACTGCGATGCCCTTGGGTGCCGGTCGCACACGCATTGTTGTTTAGCACTTCGAAAATAGAAAATTTAACATTACGATTTGCTCCGGGAATTCGATTGAAAATAAATTTGAATTAACCGAAATTTCAGACCTCTAGCTTCGAATTACCGAGAATTTCTTCCTGTTGAACTGCATGCAAAACTGACGGGACCCCCACTCCACTTCCAATTAACTGATAATTCCAATTAAGCGACTTCGAATTATCGGGAGTCGACTGTATGCAGTATTGGTACGAAAATTTGGAAAATAAGTATGCAAACTGCAGTATTGGTACGAAAATTTGGAAAATAAATCTGCAAACTAAACAAAAGGTGGACTGAAGGCAGAGCTAACCTAAAATGCTTACTTTACAGTGAAAAACTGCATTATTAGTGCGATAGCAATTATATGGACACTCTCGGTGGGCTTTTGCTGTCGCTGCCATGTTCCGTAACAAACTCGAATTGATATCATGTCCCCTGCATCGTAACTTTCACGAGCGGATAAAAGCACAGGAGCGCTGTTGAAGCAGGTCAAATGAGTCGGCCCATCCCTATCATCTAGAAAGTGCATAAGATAACATCTCCCACATGTTGGAACTGCCATCGAATACTCAACAGAAAGTAAACCACCTGTACTGAAAGAGCATGAAACAATGCGGGGAGGAAGGGGAATCGCTCGAGTAGCAATAATGAACTAAGATTTTAAAGGCGGCTGCGATTGCTGGCGTGCTTCCTATCTCTGAGTATCAGCAGGGTTTCAACCCCAAGAGACTGTGAGAAAAGAGCACTTCTTCCTGGAGCGGCCGTATTTGCTCACACCAGCGTGTTGTAGAAGTTCTACGATATCGGATCCCAAAGAGTAGGCTACCAGCCTTACTTCTTATAACATTACAACTTTTTGCTATCGTGTTCATTGCATTGAATCGAACGTGCCGTCATGTTGCCAGAAAGCTACCAGCCTGCGAACTCGCAGCGTGGCTCAAGACGGAAACGCGCGACGAGTCAACCTCCGAAGATCCGTCGTCACTGTGGCCTCCGAGAGTTTCCATCAGCACCTAATCTGACATCTCCACGGTGGCGACGACACGGTTGTCCGAAATTAAGAAAAGTCACAGTTTCGCCGCAAGGGCAACGCATTCAATGCGATAGCAGCAACTTGGAATGTAGCACTAAGAACAGCAAGCAGATCCATATGTGCAGTGCGCTGCTCACGCACAAATGACGCACGAACCTACACAGGACGAAAGTGAACTAACGTTTACTGCTCTACACCCAATGCACTGTTTAAACAAAAACGAGGAATGAAACGTAATCCCAGGTACAGGTATGAGTGCAAACTAACAAGTGCCCCAGGTTTTACTTTGCTGTGTTTGAAAAGCGCACTCTTTTCACAAACCGCGCCTGTAAAGCAAGCAAAGTGATCTTTGTGGGCTGGGCAACTAAGCGCAATTGTTCCGGTCAAAGTCGAAGGCGTGCGATTCGCCCGACCGAAGGATAAGCGCGCACGCACAAGCATCTAACCCCCTCCCCCCCCCCTTTTCGCGGGGCAAGAAGATAAATGTAAGTCGGCGCATTGGGAGGAGCTGGGCACCGAGCACGAACGGTTTTCTTTCTCTTTTTTGAGCTTTCATATTATAGACACGAATACCTATACGGTGAATGACAGCGGCAGTGATGGCAAAAAATCAGCGGAGATATTCCATATAATTGCTATCGCAATAATAAAACAAAGCAAAGCTGAACGTCGTTGGGGGCCTCACTATGCGCACCCAGTGAAACTATGCCCGTGCACACGGCGTCAAAAACGAAGAGCGAATGACACGGACAAAGACATTGATAGCGTGGAAAACTATTCGGTAAAGCACCCTCAATATGCAGCGCGGCCCCACATATGTGACGAAAACTAAAAGCGTAGCACTGCTAATGCGCAAAAGTAGTTTTTTTTTTATATTGGTTTGGAGTGAGGGGGGCACACCCGCGCATGCACCCGCAGCAGCAAGAACGACGGTGATGCCAGCCCGTGGGGTGCAGCCTCGCCTGCCCAGCCTGCCCGCCTGGCGCTCACTTGAGCACAGTAATGAGTGCTCACTCTAGCCTGGTGCACCGCCTCCACTTCGTGCTTCGTTGGCAGAGGGATAGCCACGGAAGATGCATGCTCGTACTGAAATGCGGTGCAAAATTCCTAGAATGTCTGTGGCGAAAATTCGTTATATCAAGGTTGTCTCCCACTGTTACTCTGTTACATAGCAAATACATGTGCTTCTATGAAGCAATAGAAGGGGGGGCAATAAGAAAAGTTCATT